TCCCTGTACATATGGTTGGGCAAGTGGCTACCAAACACAAATCCAAAGCTATTTTAAGGGAAATATCATTCCTGGCCACCTACTGGCTTAGTACCACATGACAGCCAGCATGGAGCTGACTTTAATGCATCCCACCACATCCCCAGATGGCTTCCTCCTGTTTGTACTCTCTACGTCTGCTGTCCCCTCTCCATCACCCCACTTCTCCCCTCCCCTGCAGCCTAATATGCCTCTCAACATTTGATTTGCGTGCTCAATATGTTCCATGTATTTTTCTTTTTTTTGCCAAACCACATACATAAATACACTGCTTCTGTATTACACATCTGTTCACATCAATCAGCACGAAGTTCCAAGGATGCCATTGTGACTGTCTGTATAAAAAGTAGAAACAGTAAGACTGATACCAAACAATACCTTGATTTTTTTCCCCCTTTTTGTTGATACTGATCCTCTGGCTTCCACACTACCAGTGAACTCTGACACCTTTAAAACAGCTGAATGCTACATAATATTGTCCATGTTAAGGCAACTAGGTTCATTGGTAGTGTGATTCCTTGTGCCTCGTGCTATTGCAAGGCAGCTGGATTCTCTCAAGATTCACAAGATCAAGCAAGAACCCATCATGTCATGTGCTTGTTGGGACCAATCAGCATCCTATGAGGAACTACTGACAGTTACAGGCATGTTTTATGTGTGACAACAGTTGAAATTAGCCTGATAGACGCATGCTCATCCAGTCACCAGCCAGGTATTTATTTGAAACTGTCTGCCCTTTGCAAACAGTTTTCAAAGATGACTGCTCAGTTGTTCTGTGTAACACATCATTGCACATGCCATGTTGCCAGTGTCCCCGAAGGTACTAAAAAAATAAATAATTATGACTTAAACTTTAGCAACCCTGACGTTTTGAGTAGAAGCCCCTTTGTTTAATCCAAGTGACTTGCTTTCTTTTAGTATAATTTTTTAAATCAAATCCATTAGTTAAAACATTCTGATTGTAAGGCTATTATTGTTATCTATTTAGTACTTTAACAGCAAGAAGACGAATAAGATGACTTTTCCCCTTGTGACCTAACAATATTCACTTCCATCAAATGCAATTGCATGTTTCAATTTTTATTTTTCTTACAAAAGTAAACTAGGCTTCCACACCATTTTATATGTTACCATCTCAGCTTTGTGAGTGCACATGGTAGGCATACAAAGCATACAATTCCCACACTGGAGACCAAGGTTTGTATACTCTTTTCTTTGGTTGGATGTCGACACCAAAAGAACTTTGACTAAGGTTATGAAAACATTATGGTTTGAATGAATAAATGTGAATAAAACTTTATTTTTTTTCTGTAATAAACCAGTTCCACAATCTTTATCTCGCCTTTACAAAGTGCCATGAATGCCAAAAATGACCTTAAAAATTCTAACGCTGCCGTCACTACAAGTGGATATTGTACTGTGGGCTGAAATATTTTGCCAAAGGAAAAATACATTCTGATGCGTTCGGTATCAGTTTGTTTGTAACTTAAGAAATAGGTTTATTACCATAACTTCCTTGTGATGTTGATGGAAAGCATAATACAACATGCATTACATTTGCTGTTAACCGTATTTGTTCTTACAACATTGAAATTTCTAGGTGACAGGGTTGCACAGAGGGCTGCACTATGAAGCGAGATTAGTGGGTTAACAAGGTATGTTGAGCTTAAAGCCAGAGTTTTCAGTGTCACGAAGGTGGCTTTGTTTTTACCTGGCTAGATCTCCATGGTAACTTATGCCGTGAAGCTAACCTGGTCGGGAGCAGGTTATGTTCAGAGTGTTGGATTTAAATCAGCTGAAGGAAGCGTCTTACTTTAACCAAATCGTTTACTATCATTTATGAGTGATACAGATTCTCAGCTGAGGGAATGTGCTGAGTTGTACGTTACTAATATCACTGAATGAAGCCGTGTAGTTACAGTATCGCACACTGTAAATATGGTGTTGCCATTGGAACCCGACATGTATTTAGTTGGCATTGCAGAAATCACATAAATATGTTTTTATGTTTGGCTCTGATTTACTGCCAAATCCATTTACACTGCGGGTACTGCAGCTGATAGAACACAGATGAGAAAATGGATTATTCTACTGGTATTTATTACAGAGAATATTCAATCAACAGCAGTAATTTCGCTTTGATTTGAGCAAAAATTAAAGTGATATTCTGCATTATGGGACAGTGTCGGAGCTAAATGTGCTTCAATACAATATCATGTTTAAATATATTCAATTTAAAGTTTTAATGTGCAGCTGTCAGTTAGAAATAAGCGGCTGCATCGGTAAAATATTACATATTACGCATGTTTAACAGTTTTCTACCAGCATTTCTGTCTTGAACCATTTGCAGGAACAGCGCTTTTTACCATCAAAATGTTTTTATAGTCCTCATTGTTCTCCATTAAAACAACACGTTGACCGAAGCAGCTGCACACGATCGTTTCATTTTGTGCCGAAGAAGAGTTGTGTGACACGTTAAACACCCCTTTTATGTGAACGTGCACAGAGTCTGAAGCAGAAAGTCTGAGTTGACTAAGAAAGTTGATGACCACCTTCGTGATACAAGTAAACGCTGACTGGGGCTTTAGGTTTTGTCGAGCCGAGTTACACAAAGAAAGCCTGGCTATGTCAAACTTGCTTTGCAGTATACCCCTCAGGGCATAAGTGGTTATTCATGTGTGTGTGTGTGTGTGATTAACAGTAGGCCATATTTAAGAAAGTCATCCACAACCTGCTGTCATGTTTAAATGAGTTTGCTGTGAGGCTGCACATACCCTTAATAACACTGAAGGCAGGGAAGACGAATGAAAAGAAGTGTTTGTGTGTGATTTGACTATCGATGACGCAGGTAGGTTAAATAAAGAAGGTAGTTTTGAATGGAAAAAAAATCAATTTGTCTTATGAGCAAATGTGTTAAAAGTTCCAATGGTGTGAGACATCAGTCAGCAATAACAACGATCCATAAAACATAATCCTTATCAAAGTTACAGCCTTGCAGCACAGCCTATTTGGGTGAATAAATGGAACAACTGAACTGCATGCTTAGTCAGTGCAATCCGGTCACACCGAATGAAGTCCAATCAGTCCAGAACATTGAGCATAAAGTGACCCGCTTTCGTGTTCAATGCTATTCACAGTGGACGTGGTAATGTGCATCTGTGTGCATGCCCACGCTCTATAAGCACATGCATGCATATGTAAGTCCAGTGAAAACCTACTTGACCACTGTCACTCTTACCAGCCAAGGACAGCCCATCTAAAGGCAGGCATGCACACAAATACATACACACACCACGTACTCAATTTCCATTTAATTTTCCTTTCCAGCGCTTTATCAAACTGCTCAACCTCGAGAATCATAGTTTCCTCTCTGCCTCATCACCATTTAGCCCACTTTTCCAGGAACTGGTGCAGAAAAACAGCAAGATTTCCTAGACCTTCATTGCCTTCTGTACTCTAATACATTCACACACTGAATGTGTGCTTTGCACATCAACATTCTGCTCTTGGCCTGTGTGTGGGTCTGTATCCACATGTGTATATTGGTCTGTGTAAACTGTATCAGCCAGACGTAATTACCTGTGCACATGCATTTCCAGTAAAAAGCTAGTAGGGAAAGGCTTGTTCCTGCACTCGCTTTTGTTCCTTTTGCAAATATTCTGAGATTGACGAGTGGTTTTAATGCTGGGTAAACTATTACTTTGCTTCTGTAGAATTATTGCCACCTCAAGGATTTCCCAAAGTTTTAATTCTGGATAGATTTAGTCAACATATGTTGTGATGAGACAGGAAGGTCATAAATCGTTTGATGTGAAAGCTGGATTGCAGTCAGTTCACTGTCTCTTGTGAGTTTGATGATTTCTAGCCAGTGGTGGACGGAAAAGATGCATGTTGGGTCCTTTCTGCCAGCTGTTTTAACTACATTTTAGTCTTGCTGGTAACTTTTCTAGGCATTTAATTTCTGTCCGAGATTTTATGTTATTTTTTTTTATTTTTTGTAAAGTAGCATGCAGCTTCATAACGATGGGTACCTGCTGCTCTAATCCAGATGGAATGAAACAAATATCCCTTGATTTAAAAATCAAAGTATGTTAACAACTTGTTGGGATGCTGCTCATTGTATCAAGAGCCTCTCTCCCATCTGGTGGTAACATGACAGTGAACTCAAATCCCCCCCCCACCCTGCTTTTTCTGGCTTTGTTGGAGATGCAATGGAAGCTACAGTTTGTGGAACTAAGTTAAAAACTAGGGATAGCTTTGAACTCTTTAAAAACTTTAAGTTTTTGAGTTGAAGAAGAAAAAACCCAATACACCCAGATACTCTTAGCCCAAGCCACATGTTAGTCTTCAGTGTCGGAATTGACTCTTTACTGCAGCTGCTTCCCTGTAAAAGCTGTCAACACTGTCAGTACTTTGCAGTATAAAGCGTGTATACGTGTACAGAAAGTACAAGCCTAGTCTCAGAAAAGTAGACATACTCTGAATAATTTTTGTGGGGCACTAACTGAAGCCCTAGAGAGTGGTGTTTTGCTATGTAGTTGTTATCTAAAATAACTTTTAGTTTGAACATAAATGTTCAAAAGATAAGAAAGGACAAAGAAATAGTTTGACTCACTCATTCACCTTTGCTTGGGTTTATTAGCAGCTGTGACACTTCTGGCTCGTCTTTGTCCATTCATTGAACACAGCTGGCAGTGTTTGAATGTGGAAAGCGGGTGAGGGATGGTTGATCTCTGCAGTAACACCTCCGACTAATTGATCCCTGCGCAATAGAAAATACACCTATTTGAACTGCTTAAATTTCAGAGGAACAGGTCTCAATTGATACATAATGTTTATGGTGGCTGAAGTGTTTTAAACTGTAGAAGTTGTCCTAAAAGATGACCTTGTATTTTACCATTTTATTGTGTCAGTCCTCCAGCTAATACCTGCTTTCTTCTCCTCTGTCCTTCTCCATTCAGCTCCAGTCGTTCCTGCAGGTCAGCGTGTCCCAAGTCCGGGTAGATGAGTGTCCCAGTTCAGAGTGTGCCGGGGCAGGTGGCTGCTCCAACATTCTGAATGTGCGGGACACACCCACAGTGGTGGATTGTGGGACTATGAGTCTTGTATCCGTGACAGTGGAATCCACAGCTGTGTGCTCCTGTCCAGGTAGAGAGCAGTCCCATCAGCCCTGTGCCGCATATCCCCGAAACCCCTGCTTCAATGGTGGAGTGTGCGTGGACACTCAGCATGGCTACAGGTGAGTTGAAAGAATTCCCGTGCTGAAATACAGTAGATACCAATCACAAAATACCTGCATGCTCTAAGTCACTAGGGTGAGAATTAGTGCACATGGGAACAGAAAGTTTTTCTGAGTGAAAATTTGCTTTCACTTGATCATGCTAATAATCAGGGCTGCAAGGTGGTGCAGTTGGTTAGCACTGTCGCCTCGCAGCTAGAATGTCCCCGGCTTGCGTCCTGGTGAGGACACTGGGGCTCTTTCTGCTAGAGTCGCCATGTTCTCCCCGTGCAGCGTGGGTTCTCTCCAGGTTCTTCGGCTTCCTCCCACACAGTCCAAAAACACGTTGAGGTTAATTGGTGATTCTAAATTGTCCGTAGGTGTGAATGTGAGTGTGCTTGGTTGTCTGTCTCTAAGTGTAGCCCTGTGATAGACTGGTGACCTGTCCAGGGTGTCCCCTGCCTTCACCCTAAGTCAGCTGGGATAGACTCCAGCCCCCCACGACCACCCTAGTGGTGTATAGATAATGGATGGATGGATGCTAATAATGAATGCTCTTTAACTTTTCACAATCATTTACAGGAGATAAAATTTAGAGCTTAGATATGTCCAAAACAGCAAAATAATATATTAATCCAATGATGCAATATTTTGAAACATAAAGATGGAATGTTGATCTTGCTCTGTGTGCATGTCATTTGTGACATTATACTTTTGGCTGGGTTTAGCAAACAAATGATCTTTACATTTGTGTTCAATCATGGATATTCAGAAACAGACCCATGGGTGTTTCACACCTATGAGTTCCTTCTTCATCTAAGTCAGTTACTGCCAATATCATTTGGGCATTTCTTTCTCACTGAATCCTGATATGCAATTGCCATTTAGGAAGCCAGCAAAGCGAGATAGACTCTTTTTGGACAATTACAGTCATGTTGGTGATCACAAATAGGGCAGAGGGTAATTTTGAACGGGATTGCACAGGAGAACGGCTTTTTGGTTGTTAATGTGTGTTCCTTTGCATATGTTTTAAGGCAATAAAACTGAAGCCACGTAGGAAACTCACTTCAGGTTATTCAGGTTTCCCTCTCTGTTTCTTTCTCTTTGATGCTCTCACCACCTTTCTTCTTTGTTGATTTCATTTGCCTGCGGAGGTTAAAATTTGACAAAATTATTTAAATCATTATCTTTTTCAATATTTTTAGGCCTCTATAGCAGTGACAGAAATGTATAAATATAACTTCATAATAGCTGCATAAAAATTCTATTGAATGTCAACATAGTTGATATGAATTTGTTTTGATGAGGTCACATAAACCATTCATCCATTATCTCTCCAGTTCTCTCCAGGTTCTCCGGCTTCCTCCCACAGTTCAAAAACATGTTGAGGTTAATTGGTGATTCTAAAAATTGTCCATAGATGTGAATGTGAGTGTGCTTTGTTGTCTGTCTCTAAGTATAGCCCTGCGATAGACTGGTGACCTGTCCAGGGTGTCCCCTGCCTTCGCCCTAAATCAGCTGGGATAAGCTCCAGCCCCCCCGCGACCCTAGTGAGGATTAAGTGATGTATAGATGATGGATGGTTGGATGAATAATGTTACATCACATAATACCTACAGTGGGCCATAAAAGAAATGAAAAAAAAAAAAAAACCCAACAACAACAAAAAACCCACTAATGATAATAATAATGAATAATAAAAACAAGCATACCCAAAGGATTGCTATCAGTACCACAAACAAGCTAGGATGCATACATTGTATACACTCTGGTGAAGTACCTTATAGACAGAAGAGAAAGAGCCCATTGTTCATTTAGGAATTAATAGAACAAACAGCCTCTGGGTAAGTGCTGCACGAGTACCTGACTCTCCTTGTTCTGAGACTTTTCAATCCTTTTAAAGAAGGGAGGAATTTAAAAACAAGATAAGTGAGGTTACAATTCATTAAGAATGATGTTTTTTTTGTAGTCTAATGTTGCAGGTTTCAGCAAGAAGACAAATACTAAGGATGTAAATCTTTTTTTTTCACTTTTTAAACATTGGTTTTTAGCAAAGATTTGTAAAGCATGAGTAAATAATACATTTACTTGGGGCCTTTCCAGCTGTGGAATAACGAGCTACTATTCTATGTCTTCAGGGCTCAGGTGGTGGAGCAGGTTGTCCACTGATCGCAAGGTTGCCGTTTCAATCCTCTGCCCCTTCACTAGCTGAAGTGTCCTTGGGCAAGACACTAAACCTGAGGCATTAGTGTGTGAATGTGTGTGTGAATGGGTGAATGAGGAACACATTGTAAAGTGCTTTGAGTACCACTGAGATAGAAAAGTGCTATATTTAAGTATGGACCATTTACCATTTGTGGCGTGGTGTATATGAGATTCACTACAGATGAAGTACGTCACCAAGTGCATGTCTCGCTATCATGTTATGAAAAACATTTAGCAGAGCACAGAGCAGTGGGCTGTACCAACAAAAGCAATACGTATTAGTAGGATCAGTTGATTGTTGATTCTGGCCTTTGCATCTGAGAAAAATATGAAATATTGTCAGCCTACTCCTTAAAAACTTCACAAAGTCCAGGGAAAAACTCAGAAAGTTGAATCAATTTTACCAGCATTGTGTAGGTATATGAAGATTCTTAGAAAGTTTAGGTTTTACTGAGACCACTTTGCCCTTCAGGGGAAAGCTTTATAAATCTTAAAGTCAACCTGACATTTAACATATCAGTTCTGGGAATGCATTCTCCTCTTTCATGCAATTTCCCATGATATCAGCACAATAATTTACCCCTCTTTTAAAGACATGAACTACTGAAAAGGCATTCAAGAATGCATAATCTCAGGACATTAAAGATGTGATTGTCTGGCTGATCCATAGGTATGATTGTAAGCCTCTCCACTGCTAAGCTCATCCCTCAGTTTATGTGAGGGTCAGGCTGGGGAGCAGATATAACAGATAGAAAAAGAAATCCCCAGCATCTCATGGCATCATTGAAAAGAAAGTGCAGTGAGCAGGCCTGTCCTGAGGTTCGAATGCTCTTTCCCAGGCATCAAGATCAGTGAACATCTTGTAGTGCTACCTGTATGTCACGGCTTCACTTCTGCCTGACATGAGGAATTCCCAGTGCTGCATCCTCCTTCTTTCAAGCCTTCAGACTCAAGGAGCTGTAGAATGTAGTACACGCTGTTTGGTGATGTAGGAGAGACACATGGCAATAAAGATGGTTACAGTTTAGCTCAGGGTTTTAACGTCTGCAAAGAAGTTCAAAGGTCGAGAGAAGTGCTTATCACTTATCGTATTCAGTATTTTTGAACGTAAGCTTAATAATTTTAATTTCCAGCTTTCTGTGATGTCAAAGAAAACAAGATAATTTCTGAAAAGAAGAGGAAGGTAGAAGATGTAAGGGATGGGAAGAATAAAGGCAGGAAATTAAGGAAGTGAACATAACTTCTAAGTGCATGCTTTTGAGGCTGTGACCGAGAGATGAAGGCAGAGCGTCCGGTGGTGTGTGTTGAGGTGTGTGCAAGTGTGCTCATGCTGTGTTAAGGTAAGAGGGAAGCTCTAAAATTATGTTGTTGATTAAAAATGTGAAGGAAATGAACACATCAAAACAAACGACCTGCCCAGTGCCACAAAAGGAAACTTTTATTTAATATTACAGCAGCAAACGTTCTAATAATCCCATAACTGCTGAGCTCTTAATTTGAGCTCCCTGGTCTTTTCACACTGATTTTGTTCATTAAGAACAGAGTTAGTTGTTCCCTGCTGGTGTGTTGCAACCACAGATGAGGCTGAATTAAAATTAAGTTGCACTTTTATTCATTCTAAAGGGAACAATGGTTACCAGCAGTTACATACACCCTCACTTCACGTACATATACAGTCAAGTTTCAAATTTGAGTGACTCTGTCTGTAAATGTTGACAGTGGCAGCCACAGTTTGATACGAGGACGCTGTAGTTACACCAAGCATTTTTGGAATTAATATATTAAAACTGCAGTGGATCTGATTTTTTATCTAGTGCCATCAACAGATCATTTCAAATTTTCCAATGCTTTGGTTTATAACTAAATATCTGACAGCAAATCATGGAAGATGTGCTTATACTCAATGATTGCATGACACCAAACTGGAAAATGTTCAGTAGTATGGATTTGTATTCCTTTTAACTGAAACATACTGTTGGGTAAAATGTCAACGGGCATCCATAGAGGTCTTTATAGATCGGTTTGCTTCTTTGTTACCAAGACCAGGCATAGCAGACTAAAGTGGGCCGACTTATCGTGTATTTGGTCAGGAGAAAAACAGATTTTTAGGGTGAGGTGATGATTCCAAAGCGTGATCTTGATAGTTGGAGCGTGTGCTGCTACTCTTCTTGACTGCTCACATGTTTCAGATGTTATCAGCCCATTAAATGGTTGTAATCGTTGAATAACACCTTCCTCAACCTTCTCGTAGGCTGTTATCACTCCATTTAGTGGTGATGGAATCATGATTTGGCACTTAAAAAAGGAAAAGAAGTCTGAATTTTCAATCATGAGACTTGAATCCCATCTCAGACCAGTTACAGTGCTTTTTAAAATTTAATTAAGTCATGTTTTTACTGTCACTTTTACTGGCTGTTTTTCACTGGGCATTTGGTTACATTTAGGCATCAAAATCACTTGGTTAAGATTCAAAATAAATCACTTTGGGATTAAAAAAAAGCAACAAACAAACAAAACATGTTTACTGCATGTTATTAAGCTCCATTTCATTTCCAGAGGTTTTATCTGCACTTATTCAAACAACAAGAGATCACCTGTGATACCAAGATTACTTACTGCTTACCACGAATCAGAATGGATCACAACATGCCTTCTGAACCTACTAGCAGGTGCAGGAGAATCCTGCTGACTCATTTGTGTATTAAGGTAACAGCCATTTAATGGGCTGATAATGACAGGATCAAGTGACTACTCATTTTGCTTTCTTTTTTTTTTGTCCCAGATTACTACATTCATTGACATGTTAACTAGGTATT